TTAGATTGATGTCTGATTCTGGATTCCGTTATTTTAAATCAAGTGAGAGAGAGGGAGAGTGAAAGAAAACTTACTCATAGTGGACAGGAGAAACACCTTGAAAGAAGACTTTAGTGCGTGAAGGGACAATGTTATTGTTAATCCAACGAGCCCATGTGTTAAGTCCTTTGTAATAAGCCACAAGCCTGTTCATGTCTTTGTACAATTGGTTTCCTTCCCTCATATAATCCCACCTGGTAAATCATTATTAAACATTTAATAAAGAAGCAAATTAATATAGTTAATGAAAAATATCAAAATTGAGACCCATAGAGTTAAGTGAAGTGATCGTACGGCTGGAGTCCAGAGGTGTGAGTCCACCAGTGCCACGAGTTGAAGATAAGAACGTCCATGCCAAGCCAAGCATCGGCTTGTTTGATGGAGTCAAGCACAAGCACTCTTCCTGCCTTTTCTTGAACCACGTCTACTAGAAACTGTGTTCTATACAAATGTATCGTCACTCCATAATCCTGCCCATTTTTTTGTTTAAAGATATGTAGAGATACTAATTAGTGACAAATACGGAGGTAAAACAAAAATTAGTAACAATACAATGGCATAATCAGTCAATTGATATAATTTTTTTGGGTTTTACAGTTTAGTCAATTAATATTTGAACGAGGCATTTCCTAAAAAGGAAAAGAAAAAAAGTTGATATTTGTGACTTTGTGTGTATCTCATTAATTCCTACGTGATTCAACATCAATTTTGAGAACAAAAGAAATGTCAAAAAATAGATAAAATTGAAACATTACTTCCCTTTCTATATAACGTTAAAATATTACTTTTTAAACATGCATATAGTATATTCATATACATGCCTTCGATAATTTTATCAAACCAAAAGAGAGCGAAACACGTAAACCACCATTAATAAAGAAGCTAGCTAGAGATCAAAGTCAGCTCCGATGGAGGCAGACTTGTCACTGTTAAGTCGCTGTCTATATGTTATATATGGAGATCCCCAAAAACAATTGATATTGAATAAAAAGAAAAAATTAGTTAAATTTCTGAATGTCCACTTGTTAATACACTTTGTGATTAGAAAACGACAATGAAGAAGAAGACATTGACCTAAGTAAGTGGTTATCAAAATCATTTTGTACATGGTGTCTTAATGATCTAATCTGTCGTTTATGTTTGGTTCTATTATTGAAAACTCTCTGAGAACCTTAATTAACTACGACTCACGTCAAATATAGTCCGTATTTAAAATAATTTTACAGTTGTCTTTGCCACAAATTTAATATCCTTAATGAAACCATATAGGATTATCTAAACCAACCCAATTTTTTAAAACATTGATAATCATATTTCAGAAGATAAGGAAGATAGTGACGTGAACTCTGTTTCAACATCAATTTGGAATAATAATTCGCAGTCATGTCTCATTGTCATCTACATTAGTATCATTTGTCATTCTTTTACATTTATTATTATATGACAAGTGTTTGATCCATCGATCCCCAAAGGAAGTTTACATAACTACGTATCTGATCCTCATTTGACATAGCATTATCATTTATCATGCAGGCACTAAATTAGCATATATGACTCGTTCTTTTTTTCTCTGATGTAAAATTAAATACTCAAAACCAAACAATAGAACCTAAAAGCATTAATATTAAAAAGGTAAAGATTCGAGTTCAATTGCCAGAAGCTATGACTCGTCCCATTAAAAGTAGGAAAAACAAAAACACTGTTTTATCAAACAAAAAAAACATATAAAATACTGTCCATAAGGTTATATATATTATTATTTTCACTTACTGTAAAATTTCTCCAAAGTAATTTAGGTTTCACAAAATTTCAGAATTTAACAGACCTACATAGATGTTCGCTCACTGACACAAAGTGGGTTTTTAGTGAGTAATTTTTAAATAGTTAGTTACACCATTTTAAAAACTATTAACTTAGAAAATGTGCTATTTTCGGTAATTTCTAACTAGATTGAAGATAAATCAGTAACTAGTAAGACAAAAGATTTGGCGATAACTGTACAATCGTCAATGATTATTTTTGTACAAATTAATAATTTAAGTAGGCTTCTACTTTTCTAGTACTGGTGTTCGGTGGTCACTTGATAAAGCTAGGATCTTTTATATGATATCAAGAAATAATCATAAACAAAAAAGTTTTTTATCAAAGAATCAAAATAGAAACGTTTACTTTTAAGTGAAGTTATTGATATGTGAAAATAGAAACAAAAGTAGAGAAAAATAAAATAAGATATTATATAAATAAATGAAAAAAAAAAAATCAGAACCTGGAAAGTGAGGGAAGTGAGAGGTTGGCTTCGACGAAGAGAGTACTTAGCATTAGGGAGAGAAGCATGAAGCAAACAGGCCAACGATTCGAACATGTTAAGACTCAGTGAGTCACCTACCATCATTATCTTCTTCCCTCTCATTCTCCTCATAAAATTCACCCCATCGAATCTGTTAAGTCGTTTTTAATTCCTAATGTATTGTTAAAACCTCATTTGAAAAACATATCTTATAAACTTAATTATGTTTCTTTGGACCCAATTCAAAGCCAAAATATTCAACTTTCTGCATGATCAAGATACTAGTCAGACTTTTCATACTCGTTCATTTGATACCAAAAAATAAATAAAAACGTTTTGGAACACGATAGAGGTTTAGGTCTCGATTGTTTGTTCGCGTTTGCGTTTATATATAGTGTATATCTTTTGTTTTCAAATAAACTCATAATCTTTACTATCTTCAAACAAAACTCCTTTTTAAAATTGTGAACGCAAACACCAACAAGCCTTTGTTTACAATAGCTAACGTATTTTATAAGAAAAAATATATATATTTTATACACAGACGCAAAAATTAGTGTTTGAGCCAATCCAAATAATTAGCTTTTCTTATAATTAACTATTGAAACTCTAGTGGTTAATACTTAATAGTAATACATGTGGAAAAATACCTGGGGAGAGGACAGGAGAAAGGCTGCCATCGGAAGTGTTGATAGTTAGTGTCGGGTCGACCCGCTTTCTGGCAGTTGAATTCGTAATCAATGAAGGGACAATTAAAAGCACTATAGAGAGGATATGTAGAATCATAGACCCATTTTCCTCTAGCCAAATTGCATCTCCCTCCACTCAACAAGCTTGTGCTGTTTTGTCCCAAGAAATGTTGTTGAGATTGTGCTAATAGTTCAGGAAATGAAGAGAAGAGTATGAGAGACAGAGAGGCTAAGTTGAGTTGGAAACAGAGTCCCATTTTGTTTTTGGGGTCACTAAGAAAAATGATCAACTTATTCTTCAAGCCTCAAGCTTTTTTATAGATAAAAAAAATGTCTTTGTATCTACAGTGAATTCTCTTGTTTACCTTTCTGGCTTTTTTAATTTGTTATATTATTTTTGTATACAATATACATATTTATATCGTGGATAATCATTAGACTTAATATATACTTTAGGGGCTGATAAAGGTGATTCGGATTCAAATGGATTAATTGAATAAAATTTGTTATAAGAAAGTTAATTCTAAATATCGGAAATCAAACTAAAATTGTAACTAGTTCAGCCGAAAGTTTTTTTTTAACGTTTTTTATAATAAAACCATGTATTTATATAACTATATACTTAATATTTAAATGCATATTAATTATTAAAAATATATATTTCATATATTTTCTGCATGCACTACCATTTTTGATAATTATTAACTTAAAATGGGTTCCTTGCAAATTTCGCTTAACAAATTTAATGTTCTCAAACGATAATTTTTAATAACCAAATTATTTCATGAAAAAAAAGGAAGAAGAAAGAAGATAATTTGACTCAAATTAAAGTAAAAACTATAGTGTACATATTCCTACTAACAAAGTAATCTAGCTAATGTAGAAATCAATGTCACTACAAAATTCAGTTATTGGTTATTGACAGCAAGATTAGTTTTAAAAATCAAGAGATCCATTATATTTCACATCAATCATGCTGTGTTTATCAATTTTCATGAATCATTTTTAAGGGTTTATATTTTATCTGCGCAGCCATTGGTTTAGCATGCATGTTGTAATAGCTAGAGAATGAAAAGACAAGGATGATGTATATGCATAATGCATAGGAGCAATTTGCACATGTTATGATGAGTTTTAGGGTGGCTTGCTTTTCCAACTAGACCACCACTCACTCCCAAAAACTTAATTCTCTTTTGATTTTCTTCATTTTTATTTCTTTATAAGTAAGCTTTTTTCTAATCCTAACGAATGCTTTATTAATCTGTTGACTCTAGTTTAGGTAAATGCAATGAATCGAACCGTTTCAATTTTGACTACTTTCTTACAAATTATCAATTTAGAAATAAAGGAACAAATAAAACTTTATATGCAAGTATTAACTCAATACTCATTTGGTTCATTTTTTTTTTTTTTTTTTGTCAACATTTGGTTCATCTTCTTATTCAAAATTGTTAATGATTATACCTTCATTGACAAGTTGTGATTAAAACTAGAAATTTCCATTAGCAATTATTCATTCATCAACAAATTCAATAATTACTTCAACGGTTGAGTTATTGATTATATAACATAAAGATTATTATGTCTCTTTCCAACTCATCAAAAAAAAAAAAAAAAAAAACACAAGAAAACTATATAGTAAAATCGTAAAATAGCCCAATAGGTCGAAGCTAAAGATACTTTATAGGGGCTTATCGGATTCTGAACTCCTATAAAATTATTTGCGAAAATGACTATAGTTTCCTTTTTGAAGAGATATATGGTTCAAATTGTCCCAAACATTGCGGATTGAAAATAAATAAATAAAATTGAAACAAAATAGAAATGATGTGGAGTGGTCCTGTCTTTGGAACAAATTGGAAATGTAAAATAGACGAAACTAGAAAGCAATTATTACACAACCACCAAGGGAAAGACTTTTCTCCCACAAAAATATTCACATATGCAAACAATTTATAAAAAACATTTTCACTTGAAATTAAAAAAAAAAAAAAGTTAGACAAAAATTTGATAAATATAAGAGCCTTATTTATTATGTAAGCAGAGGAAGCCTTTTAAGCTGCTTCTTATCGGATGTTTTGCTTAATACATTCTTTATGTACAAAGAGAGATGAGAGCTATGTTCTCTTTTACCATTTAACATTTTACAGAAGCTCCCATTCAGATTCTTCTGGTGATTGGTTTTCCTCTAATGGTTTCGGATCATCGCCACATTCTCTTCCATTTTCAACATCTTCTGCGTACCATTGACGCGCAAGTCGCTTGTATTCTTTTTCTCTGTTTTGCTTCATTCTTGAAGATATAGCGTCTCGGATCTTCTGTAAAATCAGTTTATTATAAGGCGGTGTTACTTTACACATGATGATAAATGCAAATATGAAACAAATAAAAGATAAAGACAGACACACAGAGAGAGAGAGAGAAACCTTGTAAGGTTTATGTTTGTCATTCTCCATCTTGTCAGGAAACACACAATGAAATTCGTCTCTATCCACGAGTATACAGCTTTCTTCAACTGATCTTCCACTAAGAGGTTGGAGAATCTCTGACTTCTGCTCTGAGACAGAACTCGAACTTGTTTTTGTATCCACGTTGGTTTCCTTTCTGCAATCTGAATAGAAAAAAAAAACCATAACCAAGATAAGTGAATTGCCTCAAATCATGAGCTAGTTTATCTCTTTTGCATTTCATTCTCAATGCAAGCAGCAAACACATAATCATGAAACTAAACCAAATGATACAGAACCTATAGGTTGTGGTACTCGATATGATGTACCAGGATCTAGTTTCAGAATTCATAGTTTCAAACAAATGAGTGTGAAAGAGAGAAAAATCAAAAAGCAGAAATGTTACCATCAGATCCTGCAGCTAAGCTAGTGGCAACAGATGGTTGAATCTCCGAATCTTGACTACTATCCCCCATAAGACCATGTTCATTGTCGATTCTAATCTCTGAATCATTCCTTTTAACAGAATTAACCACTGTCAGACTCTGTTGATTTTTGGTTTTATCGTCTTTCTGACATTCCTTTTTATAGATGAGTTTTTCTACTTCACCTGGAGGAGAATCACTTGACTTTACAGTTCCAACATCATCTTTGATACGAGCACTATGAACCATTGTTAAACTACTTGAGTTTACAGTTCCAACATCATCTTTGACACGAGCACTATGAACCATAGATAAACTACTTGAGTTTACAGTTCCGACATCATCTTTGACACGAGCACTATGAACCATTGATAAACTACTCGAGTCTTTCTGCATATAAGGCCTGGTGACTTGGGAAAGCTCCTCTTTTTTAAATATCTGTTTGCGGCCGACTCTTGTTCTTCTATATGGACCTCCATAACTATACTGCCTTGGAGACGTACAGATATCGTAATCATCTGCATCAAGACCACGGAATTTCTGTGCACATCCATCCTTCTTCCCTTCAGTTACCTCTTGTTCTTGTTTCACATCTCTGGTTTTTCGGTTCATACTATCTCTTTTCTTTTTGAAAGAACAAACAGGAGCGTATTCATGTAACATAGAAACGGGCAAAGGTTTTCCCGAATCTACAGAGTCATCAGGAAGCAAGTCTTGAACCACATCTGAACAGAATTTCTTGACACTGTTACCAACAGTCTGAACTTGATTCTCAACATATTTTGCTGTGTCCTAATAACACAAAGAAGCAAACAGAGAGTTAAACAAAAGATACAATCAACGAGGTAACCAATTACAAGTTCTTACAACAAACAAAGCATTTACCTGCACAATAATTTCTTCAACCTCTAAGCACATTGCTTCAAACTTCTGATACACATTCCCAACCCATTTTATACCTTTAAAATCCATTGTTTCTCCAAATCCAACAACGTTCTTGTGTTTGTTCTGCCACGGAAAAGAATGCCAACGAAAAGAAAACTCAAAGACAGATTAAACATATGCGGTTTCTTACACACAACATCAATTCTTTAGTTAGAGAGAAACAAGATTGCAAAACAACAGAAGCAGCTATATTCATAACAAAAGACAATTGCTTAGCCGTTATCCTAAATAGATTATCCAAGAGAACATGGCTAATGCAACTTCTAAGCAAAACCCTTTGCTTATGTATATCCATTAATAACCAATATTTCCCAAATCCTAGGAGCCTTTTAGACGCTAACTTCTAACCAAAACAAATTCCTTAAGATATATAACATAAACATATCCTTTCTAAGATCTTTTGACTGCAGATATAAGTTATCTCTCTGTCTCACATGTTTCTATTGCTCAAAGAATTAAACATGTAGAAACCAGAAATAGAAAGTTCAAAAATTGTCAAAACTATGGGAAAACCTCATCGGACAAAACCAAAGTTCTACAGAGAGACTAAATTTTGAAAAATACCAAAATTCAAGTTTCCAGATGCTTAAAGTAACAGCTGATTGCTTCTTAAAATCAACTAGGGTCTTCAATTAACCAAACACAACAAAAGAACTGAAATTTAACACCAAAAGCTGAAAATTGAAGGATTTAAGCTCGTGATAAACTTGCTAAAAGATACAAACTTTATCACAAAAATCAACGAATTTTCGCAGAGAAAGAAGCCAACTTACAAAACTTCGAAACCCAAAACGTGGGAAAAGAGAAATTTCACAAGTCGAGCAAAAAAAACGTGATCAGAAGAAAGAAGAAGAACAAAAACCCTAAAACCCGGAAAACCTCTTTTGCAATCAATCAGAAAAAAAAAGGAATAAACTTTAGGGTAAGATAGAGAAGAAGAGAGACGGATCATTAACCTCAAAGCAACGTACGAATTCTGATTTCTCACTCGATGGAGAGAGAGTTTTCGTGAAAGAGAGTAAGTTATTACGATGAAGCAAGCAATGGACATAACTTTTAAAGAAGCTCTCAATTCTCTTGTTTTTTTTACAGGAATAAATCCGCCGGGTTTGGGTTTGACCCACCCGGTTCGAGGCCCAGGAGTGCGTTGACAATTATTTTACCAACTTTTGTTTTATGGGAATGTGTGAATATCTGCTTTTTTAGTTTCGACACGTGGCACGAAAGTGGGATTTGGTTCTTGATGATTCGATTCCATTATTGGATTCATATGCAATCACAAACGGTTCATGATTATTATAGAAATAAACACGTACATGTTAAGTTTTGTTAGATTTCTTTTCTGTTCAATTTTTTTCTTGGAGATTTTATGATTTTGTGTAGGAATAATTAGAATATATCCAAATATTATTAATCAAGAGTAGAATGATTTTGGATTTTGAACATTAGGAGTACTTGTGATTAATGTTTTCATATTTAAGAATAGAAGTTACGTTTTCAGACAAAACAATGAGTTTAATTTGCTTATATTTAAACAGGATCCAATAAAAAATTGTGGTCTTATTGGGGCCCAATGAATGGCCCACTTCTAGTTCCGTACATGTTCAAATCACAAAACTAGTTATTATAAATTTAAATGATAAACTATATAACAGTTTGTTGAAATATATATATATATATATATATATACACGCTTTTTATAAGGTTTCGACTGTACTTTTTTTTTTTTTTTTATATACTTTTCTCTTAATTCTTTTTGTGTATCTTTTTAGCTTAGAATACTTTCCATATATAATAATATTTCTTAAGTTTTATTCTCCAACAATATTTTAAAAAACTATTAATAATTCCCTTTTAAAATTATTGTTATGGTGATTCAAGTACCTCTCATATTCTTTAAGAAAATTTGCATTAGTAAAAAAGCTAAACAAAAAGACTTACAACTTATAAGAAGCAGATGCAAAACCTAATAATTAGATTAATAAAAAAATAAAAAATAAAACCGTTGTTCCACTATTTTACTTTTAACAACGAACCTAGAATGCTAAGATCAAGGCCAACAAGCTGAAGCCGATCCAAGAAGCTGACTTTGAGGCGCTGCTTTGAAGAGGTGATGGAGCTATCTGATGCTGAGACTGTGGAGCGTTGGCTGGTGAAGGAGACTGTGATCGGACAGGTCCAGGAACCGGAGCAGCGACGGGACCCAACGAAGCCGGTAAGACATGGATTAGAAGCTTTTGCCCTATGTTGCAATGACCAGGAACTCCGCATATGAAGTGTTGGAGTCCCGGTTTGGTTAGACTGATTGAGTCGGACCCGGTTTTGTATCTCTTAAGTGGTTTAGACGATTCACACAGCTCGAAATCATTGTGAGTGACTTCCGTGACGTCGTGGAAATCTTTGTTGTATGCGAAGACCAAAGAATCTCCCACTTGAAAAGTTTTTGAAGAAGCCCAATCCTCGTAATCGACTCCCGCCATCGTCCATCCTTTAGTATCACCGACTTTGTGAACGGTTCCTCCAACGGTAACACCTAAAAGAGTTACAAGAATCAACAATGAAGTGAAAAAGACGACGTTGTTCTTAATCAAAGCCATGGTCGTGTTTTTTTAGTTCTTAACTTTGGAACGAATGAAAAGAGTTTTGAGAGAGATTATTAATGGAAGTAATGAGATTGTTTGGTGAGAAATTTAGAGGAGACTAAAAGTGTTTATATAGAGCCTAGGGTTCGGTTGAGGTATTCCTTTTCCTTTCGGGATTTGAAGATTTGGATAATTCCTAGTGTCTATTAATTCGTTTAAATACTTTCTTTCCTTTTTATTTATATTAAACAATCGAATTTCAAACGGCAATTCATTAGAGCATGGTTATGGGTGATACTCATAAAGTACCATTACTAATTTTTTAGTATTATTTATAATGTTTGTTTAATGTTTTTATTTTTTTCTTACTTTTGGCAAACGCTACCAATCAGGAGATGCTACGTCAGATGATACTGGTATCAAAAGTATCACTGGGTTGATATTAATCACGCCCATTCTAATTGTTTTGTCAATATAAAAATAATTTCTGGGCTTGTGATACTCAAAAAGAAAAATACTCTCTCCGTTTTCGAATAGTTGTCGTTTTAACTATATGCACACAAATTAAGAAACTATTAATATTGTTAGTTTTTCAATATAAAAATATCATTAATTATCTACCTAAACATAATTTAACTAATAGTAAATCAAGTTGCATAATAAAAATAAATATAAAAATAAAAAAGTAATAAATTTTGCATCGAAAATTGAAAACGACAACTAATTAAAAATAAAAAAATTTCTCTAAAACGACAACTATTCGAAAACGGAGGGAGTATCACACATATACATTTGGTCTTAGTGTTGAACTTTATTGTGGCAGTACTGTTGGGTCCGGTTTATTAATGGGCCGTCTCGTCTCAATACAAACTGTTTCGTAAGGGCAAATAATTAATTAAATAATAAACTACAGGGTGAATACCGTGAATTAAAATGAAATGAAGGACCATTATGTAAAATTAATGTTTTACTTCTGATTTCGTTTCAACGCATCAATAAGATTTTTGTGAAACAAAAAACCATTATTATCAAAAACCAAACCAAACCCATAGGGTTGTTGCTGTTCTGTTCCAATCGACCACGGCGGAGAAGACCGACGCGACGGCGGAGAAGCCAGGTTCGAAAGCCCTAGCATTTCTTTTCAAGCGAATTTCTTTAAAGGGTTTCGGCCATGGCTTCAATCTCGACTTGGTTCCGATACATGGCTCACAAGCTCGAGTATTCCCTCACCCTCAGTCTCAAGGTTTGCTTTCTTAGATTTCTCTTCATCGTCTCCGGTTATTGTAATCTGGGTATTGGTTGTTTGCGGAACTATTAATAATGCTCTTAGAATTCCGGTTTAGGGGAATTTGCGTTTCTTGAGCTCTGCATTCGAATCAATCTGTTCATAATTGAACAACTATTTGATTTTTATGAAAAAGGTTAAAACTTTAGTTTAGATAGCTTCTTGATTCTTGAATGCTTCTATTGAACCAATTCATATGGATCGAACTCACTGTTACCGATACTCTCATGTTTGATGTTGTATTATAACTTCTCGAGTAAGATTTGAATGTTTTTCCTTTAGTGCTCAATGTCTCATGATCACCCTTAGCTGTTTTTTAACAACTTTGTTTGTGGTGGAAACTTATGTTTAAACTCAATTTTGACAGAGTCATAGGAGTAAGAAACTGAGTGACCGGGAACTTATTCAAATAATTTGCAAGAATCTATTCTATGGGAAAATAACCTACTTACACTCAGATAAAGGACCAGAAATGTCACCAACCATGACAGCAAATGAAAACACACTTCTTATCCGTAAGATACCAATTGCTAATACCAGGTATGTTTTCTTTTTCTTACGTTTATGTGTCACTCTTTTTTTGTTTGATTTCCAATCTTTGGTGTTCCAGTGTATGTTTCTGTTGTATCGCGATCATAGTGTCGTTCATCTCATAGCCTATAGACTCACTGTCACTTGTACAAAATTGACTCCTATAGACATAACTTAAGCATTCTCCAGTGTTACTGTACTTGTGCTATTTTCTTGCATTTTTGTAAAGAATTTAACCACTTGAATCCCCTCAGCTCTTTGTGCCCCTTCGTATGATTTATGAAACCCATTTGCATTCCATGCTTAAGGTTTGTATTCATTGGAGATGCTGTCGTCTTAAAGGACCCAAATGATTCAGATAAGTATCTGGTAAGAAGATTAGCAGCTGTAGAAGGATTCGAAATGGTATCGGGTGATGAAAAAGAGGAGCCTTTTGTTCTCGAAAAGGATCAGTGTTGGGTAACAGCTGAAAACCAGGAGCTCAAAGCTAAGGTACATACATCACTGAATGATCATAACCAAAAACCCAACTATAGTCTCTACTGTCTCTTTCGGTTTACGTTTCCCTTGTGTGTGTTTTTAACAGGAAGCATATGATAGTCGAACATTTGGTCCAGTTTCAACAGCAGACATTGTTGGAAGAGCTATATATTGTCTGAGAACAGCCGTCGATCACGGTCCTGTTCGAAACAGGTAAAACAAAACTCTTTCTTGTCTCTTAAATTTGCATTTCGATGAGCTTTTTTGTTTCTTACTCTAATATAATTCCTTTGATCAGTCACACTGCAATGGGACAAGATTCTCCAATCCTGGCCGTAGAATTGGACGTGGACGAGATGGCTAAAAACCACAAGGCATAAAGAGACGCACTTTTTGTTCTCGTCTTTGTTTATCAACAAAGCTGAAATTGCCTTCTTTGATTGAGATTTGAGAAAACAATAAAATCATTACAACAATGATACTAAACATCCTAAATTTTACAGTCCAAAACTATGTTTGAAACCAGTTTGTTTGTAGACTGAAATGTATTCATGCACCAAATCTTGATGGAATGAAAAGTTTTGTTGTTCGTAAATTATGAGACTGCCCAAAAAAACTAAGATTTGTAGGTATTTTTTCGGAAAAAGAATGAAAAAATGGTGGTTCAGGTGAGATCGAACCAGCAGGCCAAAGTGGATCTGGGCGACGCCGAACTGTGGTCCGTCCACTGCTGTAAGCGGGAAGTAGTCGCTGCTCTGTGAAACCAGCCTCACGCATTACCCTCCGACTATAGAACCCGCCTAAGCCAAGCCTTCGCTCGACCCACACGGATTACTCACAGCTTGGACTGGGCAGTTCAGAAACTTGCCAACACCAGATCCGACCCGTGGACTCGAACCATTGTTCCACCACCTTGATATCCCCACTCGGGTCACAAGCTCTCGTTACTTAGCTCGACGATACAATGTGGTATTCTTCTGATATATAAACAAACGCAAAATAGTTTGAGTTTCCGATGTGGGACAAAAGACTTTCATTAGTTTTGAATTATGAATTTTCTTGGGCTTTGTT